CAAGGAACTGCTGGTAGCATCATGGAGGAGCGACATAAGTACATCGCAAGCGCTGGAGGGGCTGCAGAAAACTTTGAAAAAGTGGAATAGGGAAGTCTTTGGTGATGTCCAGAGGAGAAAAGAGAAGCTGGTGACGGAGATTAAGGCAGTTCAGGATCTCCTTGAGTTGGTCCAAACATATAATCTGCTAGAAAAGGAGGATGCTTTAATAAAAGAGTTTGATGCTGTGTTGGAGCAGGAAGAGATGATTTGGTTTCAAAAATCAAGAGAAAAGTGGATGGCTTTGGGTGATCGAAATACAAGCTTCTTCCACACGTCTACTATCATTCGCCGTGGACGAAACCGGATTGAAACATTGAAAGATGATGATGGAAATTGGATTACAGACATGAAAGAGTTGGAGAAATTTGCTATTGAGTACTATAAGCGATTATATTCTTTGGAGGATATGGATGTAGAAGAAGAGAAGCTGCTATAGGGAGGTTTTTCGAGGCTCTCCCATACGGAGTTGCTAGCACTAAACAGACCATTCCTAGCTGAGGAGGTGAAACAATCAATTAAAGGGATAAGACAGTTTAAAGCCACGGGGCCTGACAGGTTTCAACCAGTGTTCTATCAGCAATCTTGGGATATCGTCGGAGCTTCAGTTACTCGCTTTGTGCTGGAGTTTTTTGAGCCGGGACTCTTACCGAGAAACACAAACAACGCCCTGCTAGTCTTGATTGCAAAGGTGGCAAAACCAAAGAAAATTACTCCATTAAGACCAATCAGCCTGTGTAATGTTCTGTTTAAGTCCATCACTAAGGTAATTGTGAACCGCCTGAAAGGAGTTATCACTAAGCTTATAGGTCCAGCTCATACAAGTTTTATACCAGGAAGGTTAAGCACTGATAACATAGTCATTGTTCAAGAAGCTGTGCATTCGATGAGAAGAAAGAAGGACAAGAAGGGGTGGATGTTATTGAAATTGGACCTTGAGAAGGCATATGATAGGATACGCTGGGATTTTCTAGAGGATACACTGATTGCAGCCAGTTTATCTGATAGATGGGTTCGATGGATACTCCAATGCTTATCAGACCCAGAAATGAATGTTTTATGGAACGGGGAGAAGACTGAAGCTTTTAGTCCATCACAGGGGCTCTGTCAGGGGGATCTCCTGTCACCGTATTTGTTTGTCTTGTGCATGGAACGACTATGTCATCTTATTGAGAAGTCTACTGCGGACAAGAAGTGGAAGCCAATCACCCTTTCGTAAGGGGGGGGGGGGGGGGGGGGGGGGGGGGGGGGGGGGGGGGGGGGGGGGGGGGGGGGGGGGGGGGGGGGTACCAATATGCAAGTATTTGGGAATGCCAATGCTTCAGAAACGCATTAATAAGGATACCTATGGTGAGGTGTTGGAAAGGGTCTCATCGAGATTAGCAGGCTGGAAAAGTCGGGTGCTGAGTTTTGCTGGGAGACTAACAATGACGAAAGCTGTGCTAGCATCTATCCCGGTACACTCCATGAGTACAGTTTTATTACCAAAGTCGATGCTCGAGAAATTGGATAAAGCCTCAAGATCCTTCCTGTGGGGAAGTACAGATGCAAAGAGAAAGCAGCATTATTTGGCATGGTCGCGAGTATGTCGAACAAAAGGAGATGGGGGTTTAGGGATATGTGCATCAAGAGATATGAATACAGTGTTAATAGCAAAAGTTGGGTGGCGTTTATTATTGGATGATAAAAGGCTCTGGGCTCGAGTAGTGCGAAGCAAATATAAAGTGGGAGATGTTCATGATATGAGTTGGACAGTGGCTAAAGGAACTTGGTCTTCGACTTGGCATAGTGTGATGACTGGGTTTAGAAATGTAGTTCTGTGGGGACAGAGTTGGATTGTGGGAGATGGGAGCAGGGTCAGGTTTTAGACGGATAAATGGCTTGCAGGAAGACCGCTGATAGAGTCTGTTACAGGGGATATACCAGAGAGTGAAAGAAATCTATTGGTAAGAAATTTGTGGAGAGATGGATCAGGATGGGTAATGACTAAAATTGCTCCTTTTGTCACAGAAAATACGCGGCTAGAACTTTTGGCTGTGGTTTTTGATAATGTCACAGGGGCTAAAGATCGCGTATCATAGGCAGAGACTGTGGATGGAAGCTTTACAGTCAAGGCAGCATATGCTATGATGAAACGTGCTTCAAAGCCACAACAGAACATGGAAAGCTTCTTTCGTCGAGTATGGAGGGTGATGGCACCAGAACGAGTCAGAGTTTTTATCTGGCTTGTAGGACATCAGATGATTATGTCGAATGAGGAGAGACTGAGGAGGCATCTATGTGACTAGAGCGTGTGCCAAGTATGTAAAGGGGGCGTAGAATCTACTATACACATTCTGAGGGATTGTCCGGCTATGGAGGGAATCTGGACCCGTGTTGTCCCATCTCGGAAAAGGCAAGTTTTCTTTTCAGAGTCTCTCTTGGAATGGATTTATAATAACTTGGGGGATGATAGTTCAGTAGACAGATCCGCTTGGTCCATACTGTTTGCAATGGCTATCTGGTGGGGGTGGAAATTGAGATGTGGAAATGTGTTTGGTCAGAACGGGAAATGCAGGGATAGAGTGAGATTTATTAAATACTTGGCTAAGGAAGTTACTCTGGCTAATGTTATGAACAAGGGACATGGGAAACCGAGAACACTTGTCGAGAGAATGATTGGTTGGATTCCTCCAATTAGTGGCTGGTTTAAGCTCAACACAGATGGAGCATCGAGGGGCAACCCCGGACTCGCTACTGCCGGAGGAGTGATACGGGATAGTGATGGAGAATGGCGCGGAGGCTTTGCAGTGAATATTGGGAGATGCACAGCGCCATTAGCGGAACTCTGGGGAGTCTATTACGGGCTATATATCGCCTGCGAGAAGAGGATACAGCGGTTGGAGGTGGAAGTGGACTCGGAGCAGGTTGTGGGATTTCTTAAGACAGGGGTGAGTGAATCACACCCGCTGTCATTTCTGGTGCGTTTGTGCCATGGCTTTGTTTCAAGGGACTGGTTAGTCCATTTCTCTCATGTGCATAGAAAAGCTAACTATCTTGCGGATGGCCTAGCCAGCTATGCGTTTACTATTCCGCTAAGTTTTAAATCTCTTGACTCAGTTCCGACTAGTTTGATTTCTGTTTAGGATGATGATAGTATGGGGTCTGTTCATCCAAGACAATTTCATGTATGAGGGGTTTGCTTTCGTTCTTTTTAATAAAATCTTGGAGGATGTAATTCTCCCAGTCTTCGACCAAAAAAAAAAACTAAAAAAGTTCTCTCTCTCTTCTCTCATCTCTATCCTTCAGAGAGAGAGATGGATCTCGTTTCTTTCCTGCTTGTCAATATGCTTCTCTTTTATTACCACTTTAGATCGGTTAATAAATCCGACTTGTTCGGCTTTCTCTCAGACTTTGTTCGGTTTTTTTTCATTTTCTCGTTCGCCGCTCTTCTCTTTCTCTCGGCTTTTTCGATCATTCGGACTAGCTTTATTCCTCCTATTGTTGAGTGTCTCTCTTCTCTCAATGTATCCTTAATTCTTTCTTTTGGCGAGTTATAATTCTTTGCTCCCTTTTGGGCATTTGTTAGGTTTAAAGCAAAATCTCTCTTTCAAAATTAAGAATTGAGATGTTTGATTAACTTGTTGAATTAGTTCAGTTTGTTTACTGCTTTTTCAATGCAAGTTTTTCGCTGTTCTCAATTACGGTGTTAGGTGCAGTTTCACTCATTTACGGCGGCGATTTCGACAAGAAGAGTCTAAAGCATAGTTCATGGTTAAAGGAGCTGATTTCTGATGAAGCTTGACGCTGATGGTGATTTTCAATGGAGGAAGCTGCGTCATCTCCCTTATCTTCTCTAAAGGGCATGTGTCATGACACGTGTTTCTTTCACAACTTTTATTTATTAGTCAGCTCTTTTGTTGGACTTCGTACTTTCAAGATGATTCTTTGAACTATGTACTTGTATGGTTGCTCATTTTAGGCTAAAATGAATGGGCTTTTTGCATATATAACCATATTGAGAGTTGAAATGAAGAATATAGCCATAGTGTATAGATAATTTACAAACTAACTATGGCTCATTATCAATTGTCAAAAATATCTTTGTATTATACTATAATAGCTACTATACTATATCTCAATTTTATAGAATAGTATCGTTTGATATAGTATTTGCAAAAAATTAGAAGAGGAGAAGAAGGGAGGAGATGAACGAAGAAGGGAGAGAAGAAGACGGGAGACAATAGGAGATGAGGGGAGGGGAAGAGAGGGGAATAGAAGGGAATATGAGGGAAAGAGAAGGGAAAAGGTGGGGCGATGAAAAGAGTAGAGGGAAGATGACAGGAAAAAAGAGGGATATTTTTGTATATATTATATAATATACAAAGAATATCATAGCACCTATTTTGTTATGGTTAGATGATGAATTTAGTTTACTAATATGGTTATAAAATCCAATTTCCCAAAATGAATTCCGTTTGTCGAAAAAAAATAGAAAAAAAATATATTTAAAATATTCTTTTAGCAATGGAAATGAAGTTAAGTTAAAAAAAAATAGCATAGAAAATAAAATTCCCTAAAAATGGAGTGATGGCGTGGCGAGTTGGACATGTTTTAAGTTCAAGTGGACTTTCTTTCGTCATAGTTCTATTCAAAAATGCATTCGCATTTGCTGCATTCATACATTAAAATACTCCAAAATGAATAATGTTGGCTCATTTCAACAATTCACTATCTTAATTCTTGAAGCCTTCTGTGTCACGGAGAGAGGTTTCTCCTAGATGGCCGAAGCAAAATATCATGATCATGAACACCAAAGGAATTAAGAAAAGCCATAACATTATTATAAAAAAGAAACCTATAGAAAGGATTCAATTGAAACGAAGAGGACGAAAACACCTTTACACAAATGTTTTTTCTTTTCCCATCTATATATGAAAGAGATTACATATGCTTCCCACCCCCTTAAACCCAAAACAACCTCAGTGACCGTTCGATGGCCTGAAGTCTCTGTAGCCGTTGATTCCAGCTGACAGATTCTGGTTTGATGAATCTAAGTCAAAGTAAGAGTAATTACTTGCTGCTAGTGCTGCATCGTCCTGATTCCTCATAGCGAGTAAAGACAAGTCCAAATTCGCCATACGCCACTGCGTCTGTGTCAACCCATTCCCATATGGCGAAGAAGAAGAAGATGAAGGCGACATGTACTCACCGTAAGACTGGTGAAACCCATCGTCACTGTAGCTCCTTGACCGGCCAGAGATCCCAAAATCCGCACCGCCGTGATATGAGTAAATGTTGTTGAACCGTTGTGGTACCCGGTACATGTTATTGTCCATCGAACCGTGCTCGTCTTCAAGCAGATCATTGATGATGTCAAGATGAGGGAACTCATCGGTCATTAGACTTTGTGTCGTTGTTCTTCCAAACTGAACATCGGTAGGCAGGAAGCTGGTACTTACGGGTGTGTTGTAAGGGAGATTCATCCTATGGTTGATTGTTGTTGAAGTTGTTGGTGTTTCTCTGTTTGAATTCGAACCACCGGTCCACAAGCCACGTCCACCAGAGGAAACATCCCAAGAGAAGCCAGGCTGATTAGATAAAGAGACAGGAGGAGGAGGCGGATGTGAATAAGAGGGAAATGCGGTTGTTGTTCCCGTCGGTTGAGAGCTTGAGTTGCTGAAAGAAAATGAACCAACTATGGCATGTTTATAGGATTGAGGAATGTAAGTTTGGCTATGTATCGGCGAACCCACACGGCCTGTTGAGCTCATTGAACGAGCAAGGGATGTTGTTGAGGCTTGAGCAGGAGAGATTACTACAGGTGCAGCTTGCTTTGGAGGGATTAGAGGAGCACTCAACGGCCTTGACAAGATAGACGGTGGTGCTGGTTGTGCCATGCGTTTTGTTGGAGAAATGGTTTTCTGTACATCGGCTCTAGGAGCCATGGTTTGAAACTGAATGTCTCGAGATGGTGACGCTTGTTGATCTGATGACGGTGATCTAGCAGAAGATATTGCTTTCCTGTTTGCAGCAGTATCTACATTTGAAACAATCTTTTTCTCCGGTTTTGCTTGTGCTACAGATGAGGGATGATGATTCCAGTGAGCAGCTCTCGGCGAGGAATGTACAACAGGACTTTTCACTTGCGTCCGAACCGTGCTGTGATCCTGCAAAATGGATAACATATAAACAACTTCGTGTGGCTTTCCCTCTTTACCGTTTTAAACATTGAAACTTCGAAAGTATACGAGTGAAGCACCTTGCTAACAGGGTTACGCTCCTCAGGGCTCTGTGGTTTGTGAATGTGGGAGATAACCACGTCAGCTTCAACAACTCTGCCTATCTCAGAAGAATGTCTTTGATTCTTAGGTTCAGATGCATGCCTTGAAGGCTGTTCCTCTGTTTCACTAGCTAAACTGTTGGCATCAGAGACTTTTCCTGGTTGTGTTCTTCAGCACATCACAAGGTATGTTAGATACAAAAGAATCAAAGGACGCTGCAAAACAAGGAAGTTTACTTACTTGCTAAGCCATTTCTGGCTTCGGTAGTTTGAAACACTCCCTTTGTATGACCCACTGCCTCCTCCTGATCGGATCGAATCATTAGAGCAAGTTGAGGAACTATCATCCATTGTGGAGATACACTTCCTCTCTGCCACTCCATTAGGTATGGATATGGAACTGTCTCTTCCTCTGCTACTAGTGTCTCCTAAAGAAGGAGGAGGATGAGTCTCTGAAGCATCTATTTCCCAATGAACAGGGCTGCTCTCTCTATCTTCCGAATCAAGCTGAAGAATATCAGCTGAACTATCTACTGAATCAGAAACATCAGATACATCTCCATGCGTGTCAGGTTTCTCAGCGGACGATTCTTCTTTCGCTCTCACGCTTTCCTCTTTCGCTATATCCCTCTCTTCTGATTGTGATCTCACCTTCTCTTCTTTCCTTTTCTCCTTTCCTCTATTTTTGTTCTTTTTCTGTTTAGCCTATGAATTACCAAACAACCAAGAATCTCCATGAGTACCCTCAACAAGTTGTTTTAGAAGATTATATAATTTGGATGCATCAGAGACCTGTTTCTTCTTAGATTTTTTCTCTTTTTCGGCTGCTCTTCTTTTCGCCTTTTGTTCGTTTTCTGCCAGTACCTCTTCTTCTTCTTCGCGAATAAGTTCTTCTTGCCTTCTCCATGCAATAGCTTCTTGGTATGCAACTTCAATTTTGTTGCTGCATTTCTCAGAAAAATTACATGAGGTACTGTTAAGAACACAAATACACAGAAATACCAGAAGAAGACCAGAGATACACAACAAACACTAACAGCAGTTTCAGAATCAGATCTTTCACGCGTGTTTGAGCTTGTATACTTGCTTATGAATCGATTTGTATGGAAATTTCAAAACCTAGAAGACAGGTTATGACATATTACCTGAAGATATGTGTAAGAGCAAATATCTCAACAGTTCGTCTACCTAACTCAGTTAAACGCTTCTCATCACGCTCTATGGCTTCTGTCCTGAATTCCCCAGCATTCACGTCCTATTAATACAAAGTAACGTCAAGCCAACATAATGACAAGTGTTCATGCTTCAACCACTTCTACATGGATACTAAAAACCAAAATGCAACACCACACCACACAGTACAATACATAACATATGAAACTAACCTTCGTACGGTTTTGAGGACCCTTAGGCAATGGCTCCAGAGCAGCCCTCTCTAGGAGTAACAGCACATCATCAACTAATACAAACACATCTTTGTCCACAGTAACCATTGGAGATGGCGATTCTTCGGTATCCATCAGTCTCGGCCTACTTTTCTTGCTCTTAGTTAGGCCTTCAAGAGCCATCAAACCACTGTACAATGAATCCATCACCAAAGTGGATGTAACCTCCTTCTCGATGAAGAAATGTTTTACAACAATTTTCAAAATCACATCCATTTTCTCTCGGGACATCCGACGCCTTGAAATTTGGTCCAACCCTAACCAGAAGGCACCAAAGCTGCACCATAAAAGACAACGTATCCATTCCTTGTTATGCAAATTTGCTCAAACTTCAAGGGAAAGATATCAAGATATAAGAATCTAACAGCTACTTTGATTTCATTTCTGGAATCTGGAGGAGAGTGTAAATGTTGGAATACCTTTTCCATTTTGCCTTGTCCTCTATCAACTTAAGAAGCCTGCTTCTCCTCTCTTCCACAAATCTCCCACAAATTTGCTCTACATTATTCATATACACTCTAACAAGTTCCCTACGATACTGAAAAAAAAGGCAGCGAAAAGGTCGGTCCACCCTCTCTCTGCAAGCATCCATTTACAGAATGTTATTGCAATGTGTATGGTTGAGAGAGTTTAATATGTGAATGGGCACATGAGTTTAGGTAAATTCAAATCTTGCATTTACCTGATCACCTGAACTTGAGCCTTAATTATAAGAGAGCCAGAATCATCAATGAAACCTTCCTGTAATTTAGATAATTCAATAAACTTTTTCCATCCCCAATCATGTTCTTTCTTCCAAAACCGGTGTAATGTATCTACAAAAACGAAAGATGTTCAGTATCTCTGTGTAATGGGATGCATACAAACTAAAAGATACAATAGGTAATTAACCTGAATGCTTCGATTTCTTTGGATCTTTATTTATCACAGCTATAGTAAACTGAGCAAAATGACTCCATCCTGAATCAAAGACACCAGAGGAACCTTAAGTGAAGGTTTCAAATTCGAGAGAATGAACAAGAGCCAAACAACAATACTCACCTGGAAGAAGCTTCTCATGGTTTGCAACACAGAGAAACAAAGAGAGATGGTTGCAAACATCACACCCTTGTGGATAGATTAAAATATACCTGCCATGAGAGTAACATGGAACCTTTTTGAGCATGCATAAGGAAACAATACACAGCTAGGTTTAGTATTAACGAGAACTTCAAGCTTAACATCAGGGTAACTGCTTCTGAGAGCCTATATATATGGTAGTAGAGCAATAAAAGAAAGCATCTTACCATTTGTAGCCACCAACTTCGAAAACATCGCCTCGGAGCTCACGTTTGTTGATTTCTGAGAATTTCTCAATCTTCCAAGTATCTTTCCCAAATAGTTCAGAAGGTTTTAATCCTACAAACAAGGAAAAAAATCGAATAAACCCCACAAGACACGCGTTGTAATATCACAAGGTTATAACATTTATGGCTTAACTGGTATATCAACTGACTAGCACGATAGCTGAATAATAAAATAACAGAATCATCTCGATATAAATAACTTTGAAACATCATAAAAGTAGTATTTTCTTAGATGAATAACATTCTGTCTATACCAGTTATAAAAATTTAAAACGTGCTGAACTGAAAGATGCCAATTAATTTTCACATTTTATCATTCCATCATTCCATGCTTATGTGATATGTACTGAGTGGAATCACATTTTCAAAACTTGAAAAACCTATATACCATTCATAAGCATTTATGCAGCTAAACAACATTCATGAGAACCTAACATGCAAAAAAAAAAGAAAAGCATACCAAAGTCATCCTCTTCATCAATGTCCCAGTAAGGTGGCGATGTAGAAGGAGTCCCGTTCTCCACTCGATCAGAGGATCGCCACTCGGCGAGTGCTTCTGCGGATTGGCTTCTTTGTCCATTTGAACTCTCCTCCACTGATCTCCCTCCTCCAGAATCTTCATTAGTAGTCTCGGACATTCCTCTTAAAGCTTATCTCTCTCTTTCAAACTACGAAAAATTAACGATTCAACATACATAATTAGTATCCTAATTTGTAGTCTACAACATGGCTATGATCAATCTGCCACAAGCTGTTTTATTTAACAAACTGAAATGAACAAGAACAATTTGTTTTCGATTACGATAATCATATGTATTAACGAAGGATTATAACTGAAGTGGATCAGGAAATGAATTGTTTAAATCAATTACTCACTCACAATCGACAAAATCTAAATCAATCACTCACTCACAGGAACCAAACGAAATTTATTGGCTCAAAATCAACACACCTAAAAAAACCCAACACATCAGATAAGCAATGAGGAATGAGAATAAACCCTAAAAACCAATCTCAAAAATTCGAAATGCAATCAATAATAGCATATCCAGAATTTATTTTTATCAACAAAATCTCCAGAATTACAATCAATTGCAAAATAAAAAAAAACCATTAAACCATCGAAAACCCTAACAAACTCGGAAGAAATCAGCGATCGGAAAACCAAAACCCGCACAAACTAAATTGAAATCGGAAAACCTAAGCCTCGGGAAATCCGAATAATAAGAGAAGCGAGATTGAAGGAGACGTAAACGAAGAATCCGTATAGATCGAAGCGAACCTGGGATGGTGGAAGAAAGAGCTGTGAAAAGCTCAATCGTCGAATGGATTAATGGCAGCTCCTCGAGCTTTTCTAGAGAGAGAACAAAAGAGACGGAAGAGAGAGAAATGGAGAGAGGTCGTAAGGAAGAAGAAGGACACAGCGAAAGAGAAGAAGAATAAAACCCTTATTTATTAAAACAAAAATGTTATTTTAATAATTTTATTACATATGAAACGTTCATGTTTTTTTATCCATTTGCTAGTAAAGAGAAAGAGATGAAACCAAATGGCAGAAGAAAATCTAGTAGTTTATCTTCATTGATTAACATCATTTACGTTTTTAAATTATCATTAACTTCTCTTCCAAAACACTAAACATTTGTTGTCTTTTTTTTTTTTTTGTCATCAAACATTTGTTGTCTAAAGAAACTGATTAAAGGAAGGTGATATTGTTGACCAAAGAAAAAGAGGTGATATTAAATTTGTTACTTTAAAAATCTATTTTGTTCTTTGTTTTAAAAATAAAAGATAGAAATAAAACCTAGTAAATCACGCTGGAAATTAGTTTATGAATTTTCGCAAAAAATAGTTTATGATAAAGAGTATTTGTGATTTGTAAATTTATAGTATATAATTTAATTTTAACAAACTAAATAAAAGTGGTATTGAGTTTAAATTTAAAAATAAACTTCTGTTACTTGTTTACAACAAGTATGTAAATCATGCCCGAAATTTTTTTATTATAAATAAATTACTCTAAACAAATTCCAATACATAGTGTTAATAAAGTGAAAATAGTAAAATCTGCAAAAAAAAAGAGAATAGCTAAGATGATTAGAAAAAATCTATGCCAACTATAGCTGTAAGATGAGAATATATAATGGCAAACAACTGCAGACAAGTTTTCTTGTAGTGTACTAATAAAATTGGTTTGTAGAGGATTTATGTTAGTTGTTAAATTTAGCGATAAGTTAATAAATACATAAAATATATTCTTGTATTTTACGACTTTTCGAATTGTTGATTATATTCTTCTATAGTCGAGAGCTTTCAAGTTAGATAACAAAAACTACTATGCTACCATTTTTAGTGTTTTTTGTTTTGTTTGACAAAGGATATTCAATGAAAATGCATAATGTAAACCATTTTTTAGCATTATGAGTTCGACTCTTATATCTTAGATCATTGGATGCAAACGAAATATATTTTATATTCAATTAATATGAAAAATAAAATTTCAAACTTCCCCATTCAGCTAAGAAAAAAAAGAGATGAAACCAAATGTAAAATAATTTATTTATTAATAAATTTCTTTTAAGTTCTCTTATTATTACTATCCTTCCTATAACAAACTAACATTTTGATCCAGAGAACTAAACGAAAGAGATATGATTTTGGTTTATTAGAAAAAAACAAATTTTTAATCTGGTTTTCAATTAAAAAAAAAACAAACTAAGACCTAGATAGAACACACACACAAAATTAATTTCTATGAAATTTTAATTTATATCTAATTTAAAATGTAAACTATGTCAATACTTAATGTATAATACATATGAAAATAGTGATATCAGCAAAAAGTAAAAAAAAAAATTGAAATAATTGAAAATTTGCGATGAGTTATGCATAAAAAAGTATTTGACGAAAAACAATTGCATGCACATTTCATGCAAAGTACTAGTAAAAGTAGTGTTGTTTCAGGTTGTTTATATAGGTTTTAAACTTTTAGTAGCTAAATTTAGGGAGTAGATAATGAATACATAAGTATTGTTTTTAAAAAATTTACATATATTTTTTTAAATCTAACCGTTTTCGAATTGCTGATTATATTTTGTTAATATCCGAAATCTTTATTATTAGACAATAAAAACTAATCTGATCGCATTCAAGTATTAATGTTTCAGCTATATTTTCCAACTTAATGTATGGAAGGGAAAGTTTTTTTTACATTAAGTTAATAGAATATATTTTCAATCTTTTCTATATTGCAAACAAAAGAGAAAAATGAGACCAAATGAAACAAAAAACTACAATTATCTTCTCTATTAAATTATTTTATTAAAGTTTTTTTTATATTATTACTATATTATTTATATCAAAGTAAAAGATACAGATATGAAGAACTAAATAAAGAAGATATTGTTTTTTCAGAAATATAAAATTTCTTATTTTTAGATTAAAACAAAGTTTAAATAAACTACGTAAAAATATAATTTCAATAACAGAAGAGTAACAATGAGTCGTAATTTAAAATTCATTTACACTCAAAATAAATGTCAATAATTAATGTATCATAAATAAAATATATAAATATTTACAACAAGCGAGAAAGATAGTTAAAACGATTAAAACAAATTATTGATAAGAACCAATGTAAAAAGACAATATTTGGTAAAAGACCATTGTATGCAAGTCTTGATAGTAAATTAGTAAAAATGGTATAGTTTAGGTTGTTTATATAGTTTTTAAATATTTAGTTGTTAAATTTATAGATAAGATAATGAATACATAAAACTTGTTAGTGTTTAAGCTAATTTAAACTCCACATAAATTTCCTTATTTGTAATTTGTAGCTTAAAGCTAATTTAAACTTTATAGAAATTTTCTTATTTAATGCATACAATAAAACAAAAAATAATATTTGCAAAAAGCATGAAAATTTGTTGAGATGACTAGAAAAAATAATTGACGATAAATTATGCAAGAGGAGAATATTTGATGAAAGAGGATTACATGCAGTATTTTGGTAATGTAATAGTAAAATTGATGCTATATCAGATGGTTAATATAGCTTTTACTTTTCAATTGATAAATTTAGAGAAAAAATAATAAATAATAAAATATGATAAAAGACAATAGCATGCAAGTTTTGGTAGTATACTAGTAAAAATGGTATAGTTTAGGTTGTTTATCTAGTTTTTAAACATTTTGTTATTAAATTTATGGCTAAGATAATAAATACATAAAAGTTGTTAGTATTTAAGTGTTTTTTTTAAAGTTATTGATTATAGTTTATCAGTATCTGAGAGATATAAATTTAGGAATAAGATAAAACATAGATTTTGATTTTATATATAAGCGTCGTCGAGTTGCTGATTATGTTTTGTCAGAGTCGAACAGTTTTAATATTAGATGACAAATACTACCTTGCTGGCGTCCAAGTATTCAAATTATTAGGGTTTCAACTATTATTTTTTTGAGTAAATGCATATAAGTGAAAAAAAATTCACAAAAAGATACAACCAAATGAAATAAAAAGTTTAATAACTTTTTTATTATCAATTTTATTTATGTTCTATATTACTTATTATTGTTTCCTAAAAAACTAACAGTTTTATATGAAAAACTAAAAAATGAGATATTGATTATAAATTCATATAAAATATTATTTTACAAATTATAAAAAATAATAACCATGCAAAAAAAAAATTCCACATCTAAAAAATATTTGAAATTTGTAACTTAAAGCTAATTAAAACTCCAAAAAAATTCCATTATTTAATGCATACAATAACATGAAAATATATTATTTGCAAAAAGCATGAAAATTTGTTGAGATGATTAGAAAACATATTTGACGATAAAAATATGCAAAAGGAGAATATCTGATAAGAGAAGATTACATGCAGTATTTTGATAATCTAATAGTATAATTGATGCTAGATCAGATGGTTAATGTAGATTTTACTTTTTAGTTGATAAATTTAAAGATAATATAATAGATACATAAAATAAGATTAAAGATAATTACATGCAAGTTTTGGTAGTATATTAGTAAAAATTGTATAGTTTGGGTTGTTTATTTAGTTTTTAAACATTTCGTTGTTAAATTTATGGTTAAAATAATGAATACATAAAAATTGTTAGTATTTAAGTTTTTTGAGTTATTAATTATATTTTAACAGTGTCTGAGAGACATAAATTTAGAGATAAGATAAAATATAGATTTTGATTTACATATAAGCGTCTTCGAGTTGTTAATTATGTTTTGTTAGAGTCCAACAGTTTTAATATTAGAGGACAAATACTACTTTCCTCGCATTCAAGTATTCAAAATATTAGGGTTTCAACTATTAGTTTTTTAGTTAATGCATACAAGTGAAAAAAAATTAAAAAAAAAATACAACCCAATGAAACAAAAAGTTTAATAATTTGTTTATTATCATTTTTATTTACGTTTTTATATTACTTACTATTGTTTACTAAAAACCTAACAGTTTTATATGAAAAAACTAAATAAATGAGATATTAATTATAAATTCGTATAAAATATTATTTTACAAATTATATAAAAATTAATTATGCAAAAAAAAATTCCACATCTAAAATATATTTGTAATTTGTAACTTAAAGCTAATTAAAAATCTAAATAAATTCTATTATTTTTTGCATACAATAAAGCAAAAAAATGGTATTTGCAAAAAGCATGAAAATTTGTTGAGATGATTAGGAAAGAATTATTTGA